CAAACAAACATCCCGGCAAGGGAACAATGATGATAATAACATATGAAGCGCAATAAACCACAATGAAGCCATAACAATCATAATACAAGGCTCGCGGGCATGCTTGACACCAACGTATAGATATTCGTCACCATGCCTATACGTCGTACTCCACAATTAACATGTAGCAAATAAGACACAACTCTTAATCCCTCAAGCTAAGGTTAGACCAAACACTTACCTCGAACTTCCACGGCCAACTCAAGCCTCAAACACCGCTTTTCCTTTTGAATTCGGCTCCAAATCAATTGTATCTAGACATAATCGGCCTAATAATATTAATAAACGCTAAACAATCCAATTTCAATGCTTAATTATAGCTTTCCCATCATTCTTCCCAAAAGGTCAAAAATTGACCCCGGGCCTGCTTGGTCAAAACACGAGGTTCAGACCACAACCCGATCACCCATTCACCCACGAGCCCAAATATATAATTTGTTTTGAAATCCGACCCCAAAACGATGTCAAATTCCAAAATAATCAAAAATCCCTAACTTTACCCAAATCCCTAATTTTTTACCCTTAATCTCATGTTTAGGCCTAGAAATCTAGTGGGTGTTGATAAAAATGGAAGAAAATGAGCTTAGGATTACATACCTATGAAGCTATGATGAAGTTCCTCTTCAAAAATCACCCAAGAGGTGTGCAGAAGATGAACTTTATGAAAAATGGTGGAATTCCCGTAATGTATTCTGTTTTTGAAACTTAAAATAATTGGGCAAATTTGGTCGTCGCGTTCGCGATGAGTTAGGACTGAAAGACCTTCGCGTTCGCAGAAATGGGCTCGCGTTCGCGGAGAACTAACTCCTCAAGCCTTCGCATTCGCGTCCAGGTGGTCACGTTCGTGTAGGTATAATACCCCCTGCCAGGCTCATAAGCCATTGCGTTCGCATATGCTGGGTTGCGTTCGCGAAGGGTATCCCCCCTTAGCCTCGTGTTCGCGAAGAAGAAATTTGGCACCTGGGAGATTTGCGTTACGCATTCGCGAGTGTGCCCACGCGAACGCGAAGAGAAAAAATCCATGGGCACTGAACAACAATAACCTGCAACTTTTATGAGTTCAAAAACCTTCCGAAACACACTCAAACCCTCGGGGCTCCAAACCAAACATACATACTAACTCAAAAATATCATATGAACTTATCTGTGCGATCAAATCGCCAAATTAACCCCTTAAACAACGAATTAAACCTCAAAATCAATGAAATATTTCAAAACTTCTTAAAACATCAAATTTGCATTTAAGGTCCGAATCACGTCAAATGGATCCCGTTTCTTACCAAACTTAACAGAATTATCTTAAATCACATATAAGACTTGTACCGGGCGCCGGAACCAAAATACGGGCCTGATAGCAACATGTTCTAATCAAAATTCATTTCCAAATCCTTTACACAATTTCAGAAAAAAAATTTATTTAAAAATTTATTTCTCGGGCGTGGGACCTCTGAATTCGATTCCGGGCATACGCCCAAGTCCCATATTTTCCTACGGACCCTCTGGGACCGTCAAATCACGGGTCCGGGTCCGGGTCCGTTTATCCAAAATGTTGACCAAAGTCAAATTAACTCATTTTATAGTCAAAATTTATTATTTTTCACAGATTTTCACATATAGGCTTTCCGGCTATGCTCCCGGACTGCGCACACAAATCGTAGTGATGCTAAAAGAGTTTTTTAAGGCCTCGGAATGCAGAATTTCATTTTAAAACAAGTGATGACCTTTTGGGTCATCATAGTGAGTGATATAATGTTTTGCCCGAGGGGCTGTTCTTGATTCATGTTGTGCCCGAGGGGCTGTTTACGAGCGATTGTGAGGTATGCTCGAGGGGTTGTATATGAGTGACTATGAGGTTTGCCCGAGGGGCTGTTTATGATTCATGTTTGTCTGAGGGGCTGGTCACGGATGATGTTTTGCCCGAGGGGCTGGTCACGAATGATGTTTTGCCCGAGGGGCTGTTTCTGTTTTCATTATTTTTACTCAGTGTTTCATCACTTTGTTTGAAAACTGTTGAATGATATTTTAAACGGTTTTATTGAAACTGGATTTAAATGAGCTGAATTGATTCAAAACCCTGGTTTTAAAAGCCTGTCGTATTCTACTGAGATTTCATGATATGAATTGTATATGTTTTATTGCTCGTCACAACTACTCGGTCTTTATTTACTTTTATTACTTACTGAGTTGGCGTACTCACATTACTCCCTTCACCTTGTGTGCAGATCCAGGGGCTGCTGGACGTGCTAGTTAGTGTTGATTTCATCCGTCGCAGATCTGTTGGAGTTAGCAAGGTAGCTGCATGGCGATCGCAGCCCTGCTCTTCTCCCTCCTATCTTCCTATAGATGTTATTAGTTAGTTTCCATACTGTATTAGTCTTAGTATTATCGGACAGTCCTTAGTAGATGTTCATGACTAGTGGTACCCCAATGTCGGGCTTTTCTTTCCGCACTTTGTTATTTTGATATTCTTTATGAAGTTTTATTATTTAAATAGTTGAAGTAATCTTTAAATTGAAATATCGGATTGTTTTTGTAAAAGAATCGGCTTGCCTAGTTCTACGATAGGCGTCATTACGACATGGTAGATTTGGGTCGTGACATCATTAAACATCTGCAAATCGAAATAGTGCATTATTTTAGGGAGGAGAATACTATTGCAGATGCATTGGCTAAAATTGGAGGCACAATACAGGATCAAGGGATTGCTGATATGTTCTTCTTAGTCCAAGAACTACCACAACCTGATAGAGGTTCTTTCTATACGGAGAAAGCTCAAATGACTAACTTCAGAGTTAGACAAGCCAGAATGAGTAGTTAGTATTTGATGTATGGGCTACTAGCATTGTTCCTCTTTTTTGCTACCTTACTAAGGTCAATTGTAAAGGACGAGAAGTTCTCTAGCAAGAAATTTTCTTATTGAGCGGTCCACCATAAGGACGTTTAAGAATATTTGTCACTCTGTAATGGAGTTCAAGGTTTATAT